GGCTCTCGGGGTCAAAGGTCGCTGGTACACCGCAGTACTCAGACCTGAGGCAACAGCTTCGATGGTCTCATCCAGCAGAGACGACATCAGGTACCTTGGGACATGCTACACAGCACATGAGAAAGTCCTGTCACCAAAGCCCACGTCCTTCACAGTCCACCCAGGACCACGCGGGCAGCCCCAAGAGCTCACAGGTGGGTCAGAGACAAGGACAGGCAGCGCGTATCAGTGCTGCGCGTTATCAGATGGAGACGCCCGAGCAGAACCACCCCAGGGAGGAAGAGCACCGTCTCTCAGAGCCCACTGGGGCACCGGCCGACGGCCTCCTGTGTCCCGATGACGACGACACCATTGTGCTGCTGTATGCCTTCCTCCCACCTCCAGATGGGGGCACCAAAGGGGGTCAGGCCAGGCTCCAACACCCACCTGGATCCTCCTGGCGGTGGTAATGCGGTTCCGGTTCACTGTGGCCCTCACCCGCTCGCTCTGCCTCGTCCTGGCAATGACCCGGGTCCGACCTGCAGTAGGCCGGAGCCTGCTGGTAGTGGGCACCACATCGACCAAGAGCTGAGAGACTTCCTCCTCACTCACATGGCCCAGGTCTAGGCAAGGAAGAACAGGGTAAACCTAAAGGCACCCACAGGATCTGTCCGGAAGCCACCCTGCCCCTGCCTTCAGGAAGCCTGCAGATGGGGAGGGTCAGGATGGGAGCTCCGGCAGGAGGCATGCAGTCAACAGCGTGTGGGGATGCCTGTCCTGCATGCTGGCCCATGGTGGCAGGTCTGCCCAGCGCCCCCTCTGGGACTGCCCCTTCCTCACCAGAGCTGACACTGAGAGCCGCACACTCGGGACAGAACCATTCGTCCACCGGCACCTCCTGGAGCGGGGGGTCGAGGCACTCCATGTGGTACCTGCAGGAGCAGAGGAGACAGAGCAAATGCTCCCAACACCTGCAACCCAGGTCTCCGAGGAGGACAGCAGGGGCTGTGCTGGCTTCCAAAGGCCCCATCTGCCACAGTCACAACCCTGCTCTTCCCATAGGGTTGGCACCCAGGAGCCCCCCAGGTGGGTGAGCAAGCCTTCTGTGCACTTGTGCTCTGGGCCCAAGATGCTCCTCTGTGACACCATTCAGAACCCCCGTCACATCTATGAGAAGTTTCCAAGCACGAAGGCTCCCCATTCCACGGCTCATAGAGGAGCAGCTACTGAGGAGAAGCATGGCCTAACCATGGAGTGTTTTCCGATGGCTTCTCTATAGTCTCCAAAGACAGTCGTCAGTCCCGGGAACCTCTCTTGAGTGAGGTGAGTGAACTCTTTATTACAGTGAAAGGTTTGTGTGAAGGAAGGGTTACAGAGCAGCTCATCAGCTTTACGGCCAACAAAGCGTCCATGTCACTTCATCACCACGATTACAGTCCCTCCAGGTAGCATCCGGCCTCCTCCCAGGGTTTCTGGGTTGCATTCCCTTTTCTTTCCTAACCCTTAAAAACGTTGTCCTTTTGCTCTCACATGGCCGATCACTCTATGGTGTGCACACCTCAGCAGTCCAGAGAGTTACTGCTCGACTGAACACAGAGGCCAGTTCAAGACCTGAAGGGGGACAAGGGCCATAGTCTCGTGGTCCAACAGTCTCTGCGCACTAAGCCTGGTCTTTTAAAAGTCATTCTGAGTTCTTTCACATTTGCTTCCAATCTAGGAGGGCCTTCTAATGTGGACCCTTTCAGAGCAGTCGGGAGCCAGGCACCGTCTACTTCTACTGGTGTCAGCACTGTGTAGACTGCTGTTCCCACAGCCCACTGTCCGCAGGACGAATTGTTTCCACGCCATCTTTAATTTCATCACTCTACTTTCCTCCCGATAGGAACCAGTTGTTTTTAGACTGTTCACCAAAGTCAGACGCAGAACAGTGTATTTGGGGCTTTGCTACGGACTGCGATGCCAACTGATTACGGTAACCCTGAGACTAAGGTCCCGAGTCCTTGCGTCCAGCAAGTCATCCTTTCAGATTGCAAGGGGATATCTACGAAATGTTCAACATTTGCCCCCATATGCTCCCCCACGTTCACTGATATGTTTGCGGCAAAGGTAAATACCCAGGTCAAAGGTCGCTGATACACCGCAGTACTCAGACCTGAGGCAACAGCTTTGATGGTCTCATCCAACAGAGACGACATCAGGTACCTTGGGACATGCTACACAGCACATGAGAAAGTCCTGTCACCAAGGCCCACGTCCTTCACAGTCCACCCAGGACCACGTGGGCAGCCCCCGAGAACTCACAGGTGGGTCGGAGATGAGGACAGAGAGCTCATGCAGTGCTCCCCGACATCAGATGGGGACCTTTGTATAAGGAGCTCTGGTAGAGTAGTGGTTACGAGTTAGGCTGCTAACCTGAAGGTCAGCAGTTCAAAACTGCCAATGGTTTCGCAGGAGAAAGAAGAGGCTTTCAGCGCCTATATAGATTTACAGCCTTGGAAACCCTATACAGGGTTGCTATGAGTCGGAACCAACTCCATGGCACATCATCACCATGAACCTTTGTATATTTTTGGATGTATTACCACTCTTTCTCCCACGTTTGTTCACGGATCTGTCCAAAGATGCCACTATTGTAGGATTATATACACAAGGGTATTTACTGTTCCCTGTGTCTTCCTCTGTCTCCATCATTCTTCTGACCCCTCCCTCATTATGTATTGCCTTCCCCTAACCCCCCCCCCCCGTCACCATTAAAGAATGCTTTTTCTTGACTTTCTACAATAGTGGCACCGACTGTCTTCTGCCCTTCCACACAACCAAGCTCAACATTATGACAGCTGCACCCAAACTCACCCCAAAGGTAGTTGTGGACTTGAACACGCCGCCCCCGCAAGCTCTTTCTGAATTTAGGCAAAACTCAACAAGGGGAAAGAGCCGAGCGAAAATGTCGCTGAATACCAGAGCCCTAACTTGACTCCCTATCAGTCCTGTCAGGTTCTCACACTGCTGTGACTCATGAGGCCCTGGGAGGCAAGGACACTGTGACACCAGGATCTGCCCTATCAGTAGGGCCAGCCTGCTGTCAGCTTCCAGACCACCAGACAGGGAGACGGACCTAACGACCTCCTCCTAAAGGGACTAGGCAGTGAACGCCTGCTATGCAGCACCAGACACGGCTCTCCGGTGGGAATGTACGAAAGCTGTTAGTAATGACTAGAGAAGAGCTCAGTGGACCATGAGGAAGCGAATGCAGTGGTTTCAGGACCTCCATCTGTCAATGGGGTACCACTCGAAATGAGGAGAAACAGCTGAACACATCCATTAATGCTCCGATTCTGGGACTGTACAATGCACGACCCTAGGAAACCTGGAAGTCACCAAGGATGAACTGGATCGCATAAAGAGCACTGTTTCTCAGGCTTCATTGTGGTGGTGGTTGTTCAGTGCCGTCAAGTCGGTTCCGACCCATAGCGACCCTGTACAGGCTTTCCAAGGCTGTAAATCTTTACGGGAGCAGAAAGCCTTGTCTTTCTCCCGCAGAGCGGCTGGTAGTTTCGGACTGCTGATCCTGAGGTTTACAGTCTGACTTGTAACCACTACACTCCCAGAGCTCCTTAATCAGTGAGCTGAAAGGGCTGGGACTGGTCATTTGGGATCAGAAAAGTATACTGTTCTATTATCCGAGGAATGACTCATTGGAAAGGAATGGTGCCATGGTCACAGTCAAAAAGAACACTTCAAGATCTAATCTGAAGGCCAATGCTGCCAGTAATAGGGGGCCATCCAGATGCCTAAAAGAATACCACTAAAATGCCAACGTCTGCACCAACCATTAATGCCAAAGAGAACGAAACTGGGAGAATTCTGCCAACTTCTGCTGTGTGAAATTGATCAAGCATGCAACCAAGAGGCATGATAATTACAGGTGATGTCAAGCCAAAGTTGAAAAAAAAGGATGGAATGCCAAAACTGGAAAAGAACAAGAGCTGACGCTGGAAACCACGGCCTTGGTGACAGTCACTCCAGAGGTGACATGATATAATCTTGAAAGGCTTATTCACTGCAAATGTCTCATTGCAACAACGTCCGTAAGTGGAGATGACAGGCTTCATGACACTGTGCTTCTCACAAGGGAAGGGTTCTGCCAACCCTGCGTCCAGCAAATGGATTCGACTGGCGTCATTCTCCAACAGCGGGTGCCTGCTTCATCTGTCACATTTTTATAATTCTCACAGTATTTCAAGCTTTCTTCTGTTTCAAACTACTGCACACTTGGGACTACAATAGAGTGTAAAAACAACTTTTATAGGCACTGGAAAACCAAACAGTGTGACTCACTTTATTGCAGCATTGGCTTTACTGCGGAACCCCAGTATCTCCTAGGTCTGTATGTAGACACATGGACACAACACACAGAAATCAGATCGACTACATCTGTGGAAAGAGGATGGAGAAACTCAACATCATTGGTCAGAAGCAGGTCAGGGCCGATTGTGGGACACACCACCAACTGCCCATATTCAATTTCGAGCTGAAGAAAATTAAAACAAGGTCATGTGAGCCAAAGGATGACTTCATCCCATCTGAATGTGGACACCGTCTCGAGAACAGATTTGACGCATTAGACACCAATGACCAAAGAACACATGGGTTGTGGGATGGCATCAGGACATCATACATGAAGAAAGCAAAACACCAAAATGGTTACCCGAAGAGACTCTGAAACTTGCTCTTAAACAGAGTACCTAACTCAAGGAAAGGAAGCGAATGAAAGATCTGAACAGAAGATTCCAAAGGGCATCTGTGGAGACAAAGTCAAATATACTATAAACTGTGCCGACCTAGAGTTAGAAAATCAAAAAGAGGGCCCCTGCTTAGTATTTACCAAGCTGAAAGATCTACAGAAGACTTTCAAGCCTAGAGTTGCAATACTGAAGGATTTTAAGAGGAAAATATTAAAAGAACACAGGAAGCAGCAAGAAAAAAACCAGTAGGAAGAGAGTCACTGTACCAAAAAGTACTGGTCAACATTTAAGCATTTTAGGAGGCTGTATTAGGAATGAAAAGGAGCTCTGGGAGCATAGTGGTTACAAGTCGGGCTGCCAACCGCAAGGTCAGCAGTTTGAAACTACCAGCGGTTCCGTGGGAGAGAGCTGAGGCGTTCTGCTCCCGTAAAGATTCACAGCCTCGGAAACCCTGTACAGGGCCGCTATGAGTCGGAACCGACTCCAAGGTACTTAACAACAACATTATGAATTAAGAACCACTGGTATTAGAGGAAGACGTTTCAGCTGCTACGGTATTAGTAGAGTCCTAATAATAATCTCTGTGGCACTGCAGAATCAACACTCAACTCTAAGGTCGGTTTGAATTGCAAGGTCAGCAGTTCAGACTCACCAGTCGCTCCTTGGAACGCCTATCTATACAAGGTCGTAATGAGTAGGAACTGACTTGACGGCACCTAACAACAAAGACTGATGAAAAACACGACTCCACGAAGTGACGGACTACCAACCGAGGTGACTCAAGAAACACATGTGATTCCATAAGCACTCATTGGTCTGGGCCAAACACTAGGCGACAGCTACCTAGCCAACTGACTAGAAGACACGCCTGTTTTTGCCCATTCCAAAGACAGGTGACCCAACAGCATGCAGAAATTCCTGAACAGTAACATTAATATCACACACAGCAAAGTTTGGCTGGAGATAAAAATGGCTGTAGCCGTACATCGACCAGGAAATGTCAAATTCAGGACAGATTCAGGAGAGGACATGAAATGAGAAATAAGATTGTTGATGTTAGATGGATCTTGGCTGAAAGCATCAACTACTAGAAAGATGTTTTGCATGGTTGCTGTCAGGTGCCATCGAGTCGGAACCGATTCATAGCGACCCCATGCACAGCAAAACAAAACAATGTCCGATCCTGG